ACGTAGGACCCTCTTGCAGCCACCACCAGGCTGCAGCTGCACTTCTGATAGGGGTGATAAAGCGGCACGCACTTAATGCTGTGCACAGGCAACTGGTCCATTTCTTTCCACAAGACAACAGGCTGCCTCAAGGTGAAATAGCCCTTGACTGCTTTGAGATTGACAGGGAGAATTTTTACGGGTCCAAAAGCACTCCCCACAATAAGGCCACTCATTTTCCGATTATTGTGCTCATATTCCCACCAGAATAAAACACTAGGGGAGCTGATTCCAGACTCAATCGTGTTGCATGAGGAGATGGACTCCTTTCCTACAAAGGGCAGCTGAAATTGCCACACGGCAATGTTACCGTTCTCAAAGAGGACAGCCAGGAGCACGCTGCCCACCTCCTGGCACTCATTGTTGTGCTTGACCTGCTGAGTGGTGCAGATGCCCGACCACTCCATTCTGACTGGGGTCTGCATGCTGTGCCTCCTCTGAAATTCAGCAAAATCCCCGAGATTTCCCTCTGGAGCCTCATTTTTAGAGAGCCTGTAACTGGTCTCATAGAGACGCTCTCCTTAAATCTCAGTCAGATCAACCAGCTGGACCCACTGGAGTCTGTTGAGGTTCACCTGGACAGTCAGGCTGTCAAGAGGCACCTGCCATTTGCATCACAACCCATGGGAGACCAGCTGGTGTATTTGAACCCTCTCATTGGTGGCAAGGCCTTCCCCTCAGGGTTGAACACCCTATCCAACATGAAAGTCTGGCTGATGGTGGGGTCTTTAGAGCTGGCAAATTTCTCCTTGCACTCAGCAACTTCTGATTTTGAGCCAACTTTGAGCAGGCAGCTGTTGAGAGGGGCGGGCACCGAGGTGCGGTGGATCACCAGGTCCTGGCCCAGGTTGTGCACGTCGCAGATGAGCTCCAGCACGGCGATGCTGCGGGCCGTGGACACCGACACGCGGTGGTCCTCCGACCAGGCCAGCGGCTCCAGGCCGCTCACCGCGTACTGCAGCTTCACGGCCGGTTCCCGCCGAGTCACCATGAGGCGCAACGAGGCGCTGGGCCCGGGGGCCGCGTCCGCCGCCGGGTCCTTCCCGCCCCCCTCGCCCTCCTGGTCCTCGGGCGGCGCGGCCCCGTCGACCGCGGGCCCCAGCCGGGCCTTGTCGGCCACGATCATGTCCCCTCCGCGCAGAGGTCGGCTCCGGGCGTGCGCAGCCCGCGTCGACGCCCCGCGGCCGCCCCCGCCGCGCGGCCACCGCCCCCAGCGCCCTCCGCGGAGGCCTCCTCCGCTCAGGCCGCCTGGAGGTTTTATTTTACCATAATTTTTTCATATTTCCTATTTTGAGATTTTTGCATCTGTTGGGATGGATTTCTCTTCTACTTTTATGTGATGATGGCCTTTTTAGGGTGCAAACTTTTCTTGGTGACGTGTTTTTGGATATCAGGTTGTTGTAAATTGTTGAATATATTTCCAAGTGTGTTTCACAGTATAACTTTCCTGATAATTGTTTTGTGATATATTTTAGTTTACTTTGGTAGCATATATTGTGTTGGAACTTGAGAATTCCACTTTCTTTTTTTTTTTTTATTGTTGGCTGTTCAAAACATTACATAGTTCTTGATATATCATATTTCACAATTTGATTCAAGTGGGTTATGAGCTCCCATTTTTACCCCATATACAGATTGCAGAATCACATCAGTTACACATCCATTGATTTACATATTGCCATATTAGTGTCTGTTGTGTTCTGCTGCCTTTCCTATCCTCTACTATCCCCCTCCCCTCCCCTCCCCTCCCCTCTTCTCTCTCTGCCCCCTCTACTGTCATTCATTTGTCCCCCTTGTATTATTTTTCCCTTTCCCCTCACTTCCTCTTGTATGTACTTTTGTATAACTCTGAGGGTCTCCTTCCATTTCCATGCAATTTCCCTTCTCTCTCCCTTTCCCTCCCACCTCTCATCCCTGTTTAATGTTAATCTTCTTCTCATGCTCTTCGTCCCTACTCTGTTCTTAGTTACTCTCCTTATATCAAAGAAGACATTTGGCATTTGTTTTTTAGGGATTGGCTAGCTTCACTTAGCATAATCTGCTCTAATGCCATCCATTTCCCTGCAAATTCTATGATTTTGTCATTTTTTAATGCAGAGTAATACTCCATTGTGTATAAATGCCACATTTTTTTTTATCCATTCGTCTATTGAAGGGCATCTAGGTTGGTTCCACAGTCTTGTTATTGTGAATTGTGCTGCTATGAACATCGATGTAGCAGTGTCCCTGTAGCATGCTCTTTTTAGGTCTTTAGGGAATAGACCGAGAAGGGGAATAGCTGGGTCAAATGGTGTTGAGCCAAATTATTAAGAAAATTTGCATGTAGCCAATGAGGATGTAGCAGTAGAAGTGATGAATGAAATTAAAGCAGCCACTCTGAGAATTATGAGACCAAGAGCTCACTTGGGTTTGGTTAACTGAGAATGTATCTGTTTTAAAAGTTGAACACCAACATCAGCATATCATGGTTCTGAAATGTTGGCTGGCAGTAAGACAAAGGAGGGTTGGTGAAGAATTGGTGTTTCTTTTCTTCTGTTAAATCTAGTGTTGCAATGAGTTAGATTGCATTTATTTTTAGTTTTATTGATTTTATTTTTTTAAGTACACGACAGTGGAATGCATTACAATTCTTATTACACATATAGAGCACATTTTTCATTTCTTCATATATAAGTATGTTCACACCAATTCATGCCTTTATACATGTACTTTGTTTTTTTGCATTACAATTCTTATAATACACATATACTATAATGTCTCATATCTCTGTTTGTATATAAAGCATACTGACACTCAATTCAAGTCTTTATACATGTACTTTGGATAATAATGTCCATCACATTCCAGTGTCCTTGCTAATCCCCTGCCCACTTCCTTTACCTCCTACTCCTCTTCCCTATCTAGAATTTATCTAATCCTCCCATGCTCCCCCTCCCTACCCACTATGAGTCAGCCTCCTTATATTAGAGAAAACATTTGGCATTTGTTTTTTTGGGATTGGCTAACTTCACTTAGCATTATCTTCATCAACACCATCCATTTACCTGCAAATGCCATGATTATATTTTCTTTTATTGCTGAGAAAAATTCCATTGTGTATATATGCCACATTTTTTTTATTCATTCATCAACTAAAGGGCATCTAGGTTAGCTCCACAGTTTAGCTATTGTGAATTGTGTTGCTATAAACATTGATGTGGCTGGGTTCCTGTAGTATGCTGTATTTAAGTCCTTTGGGTATAGTCTGAGGAGAAGGATAGCTGGGTCAAATGTTGGTTCCATTCCCAGAGTTCCAAGGAATATCCATATTGCTTTCTATATTGGCTGTACCAATTTACAGTCCCACCAGCAATGTATGAGTGTACCTTTATCCCCACATCATTGTCAATACTTATTGTTGTTTGTCTGCATAATAGCTGCCATTCTGATGGGAGTGAGATAATATCTTAGAGTAGTTTTGATTTGCATTTTTCTGATTGCTAGAGATGATTAGCATTTTTTCATATATTTGTTGATTGATTGTATATCCTCTTCTGAGAAATGTCTGTTCAGGTCCTTGGCCCATTGTTGATTGGGGTATTTGTTTTTTCAGTGCTTAGCTTTTTGAGTTCTTTATATATCCTAGAGATTAGTGCTCTATCTGATGTGTGAGGGGTCAAGATTTGCTCCCAGGATGTAGGCTCTCTATTCACGTCACAGATTGTTTCTTTTGCTGAGAAGAAACTATTTAATTTGAGTCCATCTCATTTATTGATTCTTGGTTTTAATTCTTGCAACTATAGGAGTCTTATTAAGGAAGTTGGGATCTAATCCCATATGATGAAGATTATGGCCTACTTTTTCTTCTGTTAGATGCAGAGTCTCTGGTTTAATGTCTAGATCTTTGATTCATTTTGAGTTGAGTTTTGTGCATGGTGAGATACAGGGATTTAATTTCATTTTGTTGCATATAGATTTCCAGTTTTCCCAGCACCATTTGTTGAAGATTCTATCTTTTCTCCAGTGCAAGTTTTTGGCACCTCTGTCTAATATAATTGTAATTTTGTGGCTTATTCTCTGTGTCCTCTATTCTGTACCATTTGTCTACCAGTCTGTTTTGGTGCCAATACCCTGCTGTTATTGTTACTATTGCTCTGTAGTATAGTTTAAGGTCTGGTATAGCAATGCAACCTGCTTCACTCTAACTGCTAAGGACTGCTTTATCTATTCTGGGTCTCTTATTTTTCCTGATTAATTTTATGATTGCTTTGTCTATTTCTATGAGAAATGCCATTGGGATTTTGATCGGAATTGCATTAAATCTGTATAGTGTTTTTGGTAGTATGTTCATTTTGATAATATTAATTCTGCCTATCCAAGAGCAAGGTAGATTTTTCCATCTTCTAAAGTCTTCTTTGATTTCTCTCTTTAGGGTTCTGTAGTTTTCATTGTATTGAATTTTCACCTCTTTTGTTAAGTTGATTCCCAAGTATCTTATTTTTTTGAGGTTATTGTGAATGGGGTAGTTTTCCTCATTTCCTTCTCAGAGGCTTTGTTACTGATATACAGAAATGCCTTTGATTTATGGGTGTTGATTTTATATCCTGCTATCCACCATGCGGCCAGTGCAATGGTTTCATTAATGAGGTTCTTGTCATAAAAGTTAGCTAGAAGAGATCGAAATAAAACACACAGACTCAGTTACCTTATTTCTATTGCCAGGTCCGAGATGGCTCCCCTCTCTGGTTCCCTCCTCTAACCGCCCAGCAGGGCAGCAAGGATTATTCAGGGCTAGCAGGAGAGAGAGAGAGTGAACACGCCTGGGAGTAGCTTTTTATTGGGGAACAAGAGATTCAGGGGAGAATTCCATCCAATGAAGGTTGAGGGGGGACTGCACTCCAAGGTCAGGGTCAGTGATTGGGCCCCCGGGGTCAGTGGTCAGTCACACCCCCACACGGACGGGTTCTCTCATCAGGAAAGGGCCGGGAAAGTTCCGACACAGCCAGAATGCCTCAGACTCTTAACAGGAGCCGCCCAGTCACGTGTCAGAATGGCTTCCCACACTGCTACTTTGCTGAATTTATTTACTAGTTCTAGAAGTTTTCTGGTGGAGTTTTTTGGGTCTTCTAGGTATAGAATCATATCATCAGCAAATAGTGCTAACTTAAGTTCTTCTTTTCCTATACATTTCCCTTTAATTTCTTTCATCTGTCTAATTACTCTGGCCAGTGTTTCAAGAACTATGTTGAATAGAATTAGTGAAAGAGGGCATCCCTTTTTCCAGCTTTTAGAGGGAATGCCTTCAGTTTTTCTCTGTTTGGGATGACTTGGCCTGAGGCTTAGCATAGATAGCCTTTATGATGTTGAGATATTTTCCTGTTATCCCTAGTTTTTCTAGTGTTTTGAAAATGAAGCGGTGCTGCATTTTGTCAAATGCTTTTTCTGTGTCTATTGAGATGATTATATGATTCTTATCTTTAAGTCTATTGATGTGATGAATTACATTTATTTATTTCTGTATGTTGAACCAACCTTGCATCCCTTGATGAATCCCACTTGATCATGGTACATGATCTTTTTGATATGTTTTTTCTTTTTATTTATTTATTTGTTCATTACAATTCTTAATGCACCATTATATAATAATTTATCACATCTCTGATTATATATAAGGTATGTTGACACCAAATTCTCATCTTCATATATGTATTTTGTATAATGATGAGGATCTCCTTTCACCATCCATGCTATTCCCCTTCTCCCTCCCTTTCCCTCTCACCCCTATTCCCTATCTAGAGGTAATATTCCTCCTTTGCTCTCCCTACCAACCCCATTTTGAGTCACCCTCCCCTTATATCAGAGAAGACATTCAGCATTTGTATTTTTGGGATTGGCTAAATTCACTTGGCATTATCTTCTCCAATGCCATCCATTTACCTGCAAATGCCATGATTATATTTTCTTTTATTGCTGAGTAATATTCCATGGTGTATAAATACCACATTTTTTTATCCATGCATCCACGAAGGATATCTAGATTGGTTCCACAGTTTAGCTATTGTGAATTGTGCTGCTATAAGTATTGATGTGGCTGTGTCCCTGTAATATGCTGTTTTTAGGTCCTTTGGGTATAGTCCAAGAAGAGGA